AAACCATGTTTCATCTAGATAAATTATGTGTCTATTAGAACCAATGACATATATATATATAGTTTAAATAGACTGCTTATCCATACGTAAATAAAACGATGAAAAGTGGGTCGAACTGGGATATGTTTTCTCTTTGTCTAGTGCATGCAATGTTTGTGTTTTGTCTCAATTTTGAGTGCTCACTGGTAAACAAAACTTTCACAGGACCGGTTTTAAAGAAAGTTTAGTCTAGTTGAGATTTTGTTCTCATTGTCATTACTCAGTCGGACATTTTGTTGAATTGTTTATTTTATTTAGTTTTAATTATACTTATGTTCTGTTTTTAATTATTTTTTTATTATTTGAGTATAAAAACTTGTTTTGTTTTTAAATTTAAATGGTGAATTGCTCTATAAAGGTTTGTAGGACCAGCTACAGAAATATAAAAAGTAACATTTCATTTTTCACGCAAGTATCAATACAAGTAGGTACAAGGTAAATACGTTTATAATAATTTTACGAATTATAATTAATTATAATAATAATATTAATAATAATAAAGTATTTATTGTAAATACAATTACATAAATATTATTATATTCAAAGGCCCGAGTTAGAGCTATCTGGGCTTTACAAGTACATTTTAAAAGTTAGTTAGATACAGAGAAGTATCGTATAATAAAAACTCAATATAAATAGAAGAAAAACGGACATAAGTACCAATACAGAGAGACAAACACTTTTATTCTTTGATAGGTTCTTTCTATGTGAATTCTAGCTCTGGCAATTTTGGCATTAAGTAAAGCCTCTTGATGGCTGAACTGATTTTCTTTATTGAGGAAAGGAGGCTTTATACCTTCAGCTTCTGTTATGGTTCCAATAAGAAAACCTTTGTTAAACATTTTACTATCGAGAAATGATTCACACACTTCAAGTATTGAACTTTGTTAAAAAATGTCTATTTCTGAAGTTTACCACCATATGATTCACTTTTGTAAGTAATGAGACCAGTAGGTGACACTCCAGTCAATATTTTAATAGTATATGCCTCTTTTTGTAGTCAGAGTAATTTTTTAGCCTACAACAAAGACATTTGGCTTGCTGTATTGTGATTTCGGTACAATCAAGTAGTAGTACTCTTACTTACATAGAGGCACATTATTTAATATTTCTTGTTTTGAAGGCCGAATTATACCATACTAAGAACTTCTACCAGTTTTATTAAAAACTGTTAAAAAATTTAACGATAAAAAGTTTCATTCACTCCAAATAAAATGAATAAGACATTATATCTTGCATATCAGTTGTCAACTTCATAAAAGTAAATATAATTTGATCCTTTACAGACATAACTGATCTGCTTTTTCCTATTCTTTAGAAACAACTCTGCTACTAATTCCACAATGGTGGCTAATAACTGGAAGGATTGCAATCCTATTAAAGTATATAGTTCTTTAGCACTAACAATTCTGTTTGAAAACGGATCAACTAAATCACCACTCTTCACTTGTGTTGAACAATCGATCCCAATTTTCTGCTTTTAAACAAAGTTTTGTAAATTAAGCAAAGCTATTCAGCAGCACACAAATCTTCATTATCTGCTTCAGTAGTAGATATATGTTCATTAACTGCAAAAACACATTAAACATAATAATAATAATAATAATAATAATTAACCAAACATTTTAAATTATTATGCATACGTACATCCATTGCCTGAAGAAGATAACTCAACACTTAACATTCTACTAGTACTGGCAACATATCATTATTAAAGACAGTAGCCATAATTCTTGTTTTAGCTGGATTACTTTTCTTCTTATTAATAGTCGCTTTCTTTTTACCACTAATCTGAGCTAACTTACATCGACTAAGCTTAGTTGTACGTTCTTTTTGTGATTGTAAGTCAGAATCTTTATTTCCCTTTTACCGATGCTAAGGTACACGGATCTTTACGTCAACTAAGATTGCACTTTGTACCTAGTCCATTTTACTATGATGTTGATCAGATTTCCACTGGTGGAATTTTATTATTATTCATCAAATCATTCACATTCACCGCCAAAATAATCCTTAATTGTCTAAAGGGACAAACTTTAGAATGTGAAAAAGCTACTAACTTTAAATCTTTAAAAAGTTCATTCAATTTTTGCATAATATCTGCTTTTATAATGCGAAATAAATTTTAAAAGAATAATCAAGTGTCCGAATAGTGCCACTATACAGTAGTCATGGTCTAAAGTTAGTTATATACACATGAGTGTAAAATTGTTTATATCTATGTTCAAAATTGGTTAGATCTCTTAAAATGTTTTGAAAATTGGGAAACTAGACGTTACGACTCAAAATCCTTTTTTAAAATACCTAACGCAAGCTCCTGTCTTGAAATAAACATACAGATATATTTTTTTTTTAATTCAATTCCTACTTTGATGAAATATGTGTTTTAAACTCATTTGGGCCAGACCGATTCTGCCTGGTGAGCACTCGGCAAGCCAAGCAATATAACCCTTTTCGTCGTCTTGTTTATATATGGATGAGCAGTCTATTAATCTATATATGTCATTGATTAGAACTTCTGTAGCCTTTTAACTGACGCAAATAATCTTGTATCCATTAAACTATCCTTGACGATTCGGTGACTGCCATCTGTTTATTCAATTTTTTGTGTTTAAAACCACATGCTGACAACACTTGACGCAATGTTTCCAAACTGGTATAAGTGTATCCTGGAAAATCTGCCACCTTTTGCTGTATTACTTCCAATGTCGGAACCCTGTTCTCCTTATATAAACTATAAATTGTCCTTCGTATAAAATCTTGGGTAGCTCTGTCAACTGATTTCAGTTTTTCTTTACATGTTTTTCGGTTTTATGAATAATCCACAGCAAACCCTTTCGTGACTACCGGATAAACGGAAAATTTATTTACTTTAGTTAATTCAGCAATTGTTATTATGAACGCATTATCAGACTGCTGAATATTTTCCTTTTTTTAAACATTCGAATATATTTAAAATAACTTGTTGTGTTTGTATATCTAAATCCTTATCGTTAAAGTCATACCTGTCTTTAATCTCACTACACTGTGCAATTTCATTTTCTTCATTCGCCCATGGTCTAAAGAACGCCATATTTATATTTATTAAAAGAAATTTAAATTAAACCAACCACACATACAAAACACACCGCACGACAGTACTCCACTGATATCGCAGACTGTCTTCCAGGAATATTTTCGAACACCTGCCTTCCGTAAACCTTCGGCCAATACAGTGCATTTAAGTTTACGATTCGATGTTTTCATTGGTAAACAACTGATGGTTCGTTTAATATTTACCGCTTTGTATAAGGGGAGTAAACATTATTTTTCGTTTCTTAATTTGGCATGAGTACCGTGCATATATATTAAATATTGATGATTCCCCACATAACTGTGTTCTGCAATTGATAATGGATATCTTAAAATCACAACAATGAAAAACAACACGAACGAGAAGAGACGCTCAAATGCGCATGTGCTGATAAATTGTACAAGCGATGAAGCACATTTATGTACGAATCAGAAAATACGTTGGAATGTTTTACTCATAGTTCATCTGATTATCCGTGGCTTTGTATGAATTAAGAATGTTCAATGCACATGTGTCTGACGCCCTTCTGATGATCAGACCAGCTGCTGGAACAAACCTCACTAAAAAAATATTCAAAAATTCTTACAGTGAACATTTTTTCATAATTATTTTGTAAGTACTGACTAAAACTATATGGATAAGTTTAAAAAAAATGCTAAATATGCAAATAATAATAAAAATGTCTTATTTCAAGTTTTTTACTTTACTGAAGAATCGAATAATTTTATTTTAGACCGCCAGATAGTGGTCGATTTTCGCATACAAGCTCGAAGAGGGTTGAAAAGTACATCGATGTTGAGTAAAATAAAAAGAAATTTACGAGTGGCTCTTTGGGATAATAATACAACGAAAATTCGATTTTCCTTAACATAAATAGTTTCGAATTCCAAAATGCACTTATCTATTCGGGTCATTCAAGCCAGTTTGTTTTTCGGACTAGTGATGAGGTACGTTTACATAAATTAGATGGCATTGTGTGGAAAAATCGGTTTAAAAGCTTGATTTTTTTCTTACAAGATGACGCCCTTATTTCAACCTATATTGTGCCACCTAAGGCCTATTTATTTTGTATAATGATACTACTTGGTAAACACTATGTATTTATTAATACATCAAAAGAAAAACAGAATAAATCAACAAAACAATATGGTTGAAAATAAAATGTCTAGTACGTAACAGTAGAAGCAAAGCAATATCGAACGAACGAATGTCATTAAAAACTAAAATAATAGCGTCTCGCGCACACTCGATCAGAGTTTTTCGGGTTCTCGCGGCAGCACTCGTCCTGGTTCCGACGGTGGTATAAATCGCAAGTCGACACAGTCGCAGGTGGACTGGGTTGCCGGTTTTCCATATATTGACGACCTCCAACACAACCCTTTAGTCACCTGCAACATTAAAGCCTTTGGTGATCCAAAGCCCTAATTCTATTACTTAATCATTTAGTGAACACGGCTTGCGTGAAAATAGGGGTAACAAAATATCTTTAATTTTTGTTAAGGAAAATCGAATTTTTAATTTTTATCCTCAGCCCCTCGTAAATTTCCTTTAACTCTATTCAAAATCGATGTAATTTTCTACCCTCTTCGAGGCTTGTATGCGAAAATAGGGCACCTAAACCTGTCACTATCTGATGGTCTATTTACTTTTATTATATACCTTCTATAAAATAGTGCTGTTTTATACTTCAGTGGTGTTGCTAAAATTGATCTAATGTTAAGTATTCCTATACATACTTTGAATGTCATGCAGAGTATGTACCAGCATGACTTTAAAAAAATACAAGACTTGATTTGAAGGTAGATTCGAGCTTAAATAAGCAGCATTAAGAAAATAACCAAAACACCTAATGAAGCCAAAGATGTAGCAGGAATATTACGACGCCCACCTCCTGTGCTATTGGTCGTTCCCGTGTTCAGAGGATGACCCGGGCTTGTCAGATCCAGAGAATTTGTGAGAGAAGCACCAAATTTCAACTGCGCCTCTGTTGCATCCATGACAGTTAAAAGCCAGTCCCATGTTGGTTTAAGGCGGAATTCCAAATAAAT